TTCCCTATGATGCTGCTTGGCCTGCTGTGTTCATCCAGCTCTACACCTTGTAATCTCAGTGGCTCTTGTTTTTTTTTGCCTTGCAAAAATGAGTGGAGCATCATGTAGACCAGCAAACTTGGGAGGATCACACCAAAAGACAGAGCCAGAATTCAAATACTCTGTGTTCTACATGCTAGACTCCAACTACCATATGTAGCTAAAACTATCAAACCAAAATTAGGATTTCATCATCTTAGTGTTTACAGCATAAGTTATTGATTGCAATTGATCTTGCATTCTGTTATTGTGAATATCACAATTTATCTGTTTTGGAATATAATTTATGGTTTTAAGAATTAAAGTTTGAACTTTAACTGAGGGCACCTGACTCAAAGAAAGTGACTGAACTTTAGACAAGCTTGAAGTTACTTAGTTAAAAGTTAAGATTTCAAAATGGCGGCAGCATTCAGGGTCCTCAGCCTGGGGCTCGTCAATCTGTCTCCTTTTCTTCCGCTTTTTTTCTCTAAGATTTTGTATATTTTTTTCTGATAAGAAACTTACCTTGAGAGCTACAGCAGGCTAGAGGCCTGGAGCGGTGCGGAGAGGCTGAGAGCTGGAGCAGGCTAGTGGCCTGGAGCGGCGCAGAGAGGCTGAGAGCAAGAGCAGGCTAGACCCTGGAGCGGTGCGGAGAGGCTGAGAGCTGGAGCAGGCTAGAGGCCTGGAGCGGTGCGGAAAGGCTGAGAGTGAGAGCAGGCTAGAGGCCTGGAGCGGTGCGGAAAGGCTGAGAGTGAGAGCAGGCTAGAGGCCTGGAGTGGTGCGGAGAGGCTGAGAGCCAGAGTGGATCGGGCTGGTGGTCTGGAATGATGTGGAGGGGCTGACAGCAGCAGCAGAGCAGGCTGGGGATGGTTGCTGGACGGGGGACCAGTATGGTGGTCAGCGGCTTGCAAGGCCTATCAAGACCACGTGTGGAAGCGTCTGCGCTGAGCTACTGTAATGTAATGTTTATCTGTAAGATTTGTACATAGGTACTTTGTACCAAAGATGATGCCATGAAAGGCAACATTGTAAACTTTTCACTGTACTCCTGTACTTGAGTACATATGACAATAAAACATATTCTATTCTAAAAGTTAACCTAGCTTGTAAGGTCAGAGGTGACAGTGTAAAACGAGAACAATGAATGTCCCTGCCTTGTAATGAAACCAGAAGGTCCATAATTTTATCAAGGAAGATTTAAATATTACATGTACCTCCCATGTCAAAAGAAGGTAAAAACAAGTTATAAACAAGTGAGTTCCCTAACAGGGCCAGAAATCTGGGTAAGGAGTGGAGGTGGTAGTGGTGGGAGAGTGAGTTATAATTCTACATTACTCATATAAATGATTCATACAGGTTACAAAATCAAGGATTTGTGTTGAATATAAAAAATAATTTGTTCACATTTCAGTCTGAACCATACTCAAGATGTCCACACTGCCACCAGAGATAGAGATAGAGAAGAACCCTGGTTAAAAGGCCCTTTTGTCTAACTTGTGTGAGTATCTGCTGACAGAGCAAGCAGTTCAGTTTGGAGAATACAAACAGGCAGCTGTAGCTTTGTTTTGGTGTAAACTGCATCTCACCAGATTGGAAACACCAGCAGGAGATGGTGCTGAGTTAGGCCTGTACCTTTTGGCAGTCAAAATATTAACTTCTTCTAGGTCATTGCTGCTACTCACTTCTGAGCTCAGTTATCACCTTAATTGTTTTGACAGCTAAGGGGTAAAGGCCATAAGCAGGCAATATTACCTGAAAGATGTACAATTAGCCAATAAATTTCTTGCACATGCAGTATAATATCTTTCACTGCACCTTCACGTTCAACAAAGGAGCTGCCTCAATTTCAAGACAAACCAAAAGACTAAGGAGACTGCCTTACAATAAAGTTCTTTGAAAATCCAGAACAGGTCCCTGACCAGGAACTGACCATCCTGGTCTAAACATAGAGAAAACAGAAGATCATTCAGCATCTTGAGTCTATTCCATTCAATTAGACCACTCTTGTCCACGTTCTTTGCTCGTGTCTCTTTATACTCTTACCTAACAAACAAACTATCAGCCTCAGTTTTTAAATTTTCGATTGAAACCTTAGAATCAACGACTTTCTGGGTAAAGGGAAATCTAGATTTCATCTATCCTGTGTGTGCAAAAGTGCTAAACAGATCTGTATCAGATGAGGTTTACATACTAAGCCACTTATTCCTTATTCACACTATATTCAACCCCAAAACAGCTAAACAATGCAATTTTCACACTAGCTGGACTGTTGTGCCTGTGCAATGCAATTCCAAATCATCTGTACCTCAAAGCGTGCCCAATCCCATGAAGTGTTCCTGTGCGTTGGTCGCTGAAGGTGTCCAAACTGGATTTCATATGTAGCATTAGGACTGTGCACTGTAGTGGGAAACTCCACCTTCAGAAACTTGTGTGCTTCATGCCATTCCACCTGCAGAGGAGAAACATAGCAAGGCCAAATGGTCACAAAGTGCGTGATTTGAAGTTGAACATATTGAAATTTAATCTACTCACCTCTGTTTTGAACTTAATATAAGGACAGCAAGCATCCAGTATGATCTCTTGGCGGATCTTGCTGGTGTCACTGATACGGATAGAGTATCTTACACTTCCCCTGACTCTACCTGGGCACACTATCTCCAGAGGGTTCACAACCTGTGACACAGGTTTCCTGATGAGCAAAAAGCATTAAGAGTTCCAGATGAGATTAATTTAGTTTCCCATTATACAATAAGTATCTTTCTCTCACTCTCTTTTTGTTTTTCTCATGTTACATGGGATAATTACAATGCTCATTGATCAATCCTTCCTATAAACCACAATTTTCTTTTGGATTCGTTAAGTAGTTATACATCCAGATATCCTTCCTGCCACACACTCTCCCCATTGATCTGGGCTGGGTATTGACACCATTACACTCTGGTTTGCCTGCACCAGTGGCTTGTTTCTTTCAGAGCCAAGTCCTGGAGTGGGACTCAAACCATGGGACTTCCTTTTCATTAAACAAACATCAATATGAGTTCAACTTTACTGAAAAACTCAAAGATGGAAATTGCAGTACATCTCAGCAGCTGTAGCACCAAAAAAAGGAAGGTTTTTAATATGATAGTCTTCAAGAGGTATTTGTTCAGATGGACTGTACAGTGAAACGATTAACCACAATTGCAGCGCAGATCAGACACACATTGTATTCAGAGTTATGGACGCAAGATGAAAACTAGAAACATTCTGATAGTAATTTTAAAGAATCAGTTTGAGATTCACCATTCACTGATCCTTACATAAAGCCCTGCCTGTCACTCTAGCTGTGGTTCCCAGCAGCTATTTGTAGAATAGCATATACAGAAATTTGGGAGCTTTGGTTCATGACAATGATTTCTCTCTAAAAAGTCTAAATATTGATTCTGGACATTACCTTGTTTCTAAGTGATAATCCATGACATCCCATGCATCCCAGTATAAAGGAACATCATCAAACAACACAAACTGGTTCCCATAGCAACCATCAGGAATAGTCTCCCTGGAAGTACAACATAGACAATAATAATGTTCTTATTAACTTGAGATTCCAGTGATGAGCAAAAAAACCTCCCAGTCCTGGAACTACTTTACAACAGGGAGACATGTAGAAATACATACTGTTGCTTTCTTTAATGCTTTAGCTGTTCAAACACAAAGAACAAGTACATCGAATCCTGTGATCCTTGGTAATTAAGGAAAGAATGATATTTCATAATTCTGACTCTCAAATCTAGTGTCCTTGCAAACTACTGCCCTATCCATGACCTTGTCCCTTTCTAAACTGTAATTTCCCCAGAACCTTACATCAAACTGTGTTACTCTGAAACTGACTTTCTGTGCGTGCAATCTCCTTTAGCCTCACCATTACAGTTCCCCCAAAAATAGCCTGAGTTACCTTCAAAGTTTCTCAGGCAAATACCCTGCAAACTACCTTTGTCACCAAGCAGTACAGAGTTAAACCATCGATTTGATTGCCTGGAACTAAAATTTGAGTTTTCAAGTAATAAAATCAGAGTAAATGAACATTTCTGGCTGGGTCTAAGAAAGAAGCTTTCAAGTGCTGTGAGGTGCTCTTAACCTTTCAAAATTGCATGTGTCTGTATATTAAAAATAAGGGAGTTAGTTGTAAAAGTGGACTTATTAGGGACATCTGACAAGAAAGAACATAGCACAGAAAGATAGTCCGTCTCTGGTAGAATTATCAATCTTTTTCTTTCTCAGCGGTGCCAGAGCTACATACAGAACAGATTGATAAGTTGATTTAACATCTCCAACATAAGTCACAAGCTTTTATTTAGCCTGCATTTAACTCTGTATATTTATTTAAGATTACATTCTATTGGTAATTTAGTAAACAGTTTTATATTATTGCAACTTATTATTTATTAACTACCCTTTACAAATGAACACAGTTTGAATGAAACTCTTTCTGCTTTCCAATCAAAGACAGCAAACAAACATCTCCTCAGGTAGATCACTTTAGAAATGTACGTTGTGAACTTCAGATTGACAGATAATTATCACCACCATCAGAACTTTAGCTTCCTGAGGCTCAGCAGGAAAGTTCTGATTTAAGATTTAGATTCCAAATTGAATTTTAAATGCTTTCTGCATACTGACACTGATTGTTCACAAACACTGTATTCTGCAACAATCACAGTATCATATCTGTATGCCACTGTAACGACATATATACCAAAAAAAAATTCAAAGCTACTGCAAAAGGGCTGTTTCTTGTCATTTCCACTGTTATCTATATTAATTCAGTAAAGTCCAGATCCACCAGCATCCACAGGCACAGACAGATGCATTACAGCATCCCTCAGAGGTTCCAGTGTGTTGAACACATGCTAACTTCCTACAAAATCCAAACTTATGATGATGGTCAATTATCCTCTGTATGGAGCCCTCCAAAGAAGTCCCCAACACTGAGTTAGAGTTGGAGACTTCAAAGGGTTCTGAAAAACTTACCTGAATAGTTACCCAGGAAATGTCAGAGGGAGTAAAACCTGCTGTAATGCCTGGGTAACCACCCCTCAATCATTCACATCCCCACCTCTGGGTATGAGGTTCCACCTCAATCCCTGACTACACCACCCCTTAATTCCCAGCCGAGACTGTCCCACCACATCCCCTATCTGGCTGCTTACCTGTTACCCTCCCCTGACCCACCTCCAAACACCCTAAAGTGATATGTGAAAGTGCCATTATGTTGGAGTGGAAGTTCCAGAATAAATGCAGGATATGTGGTCCATTTCGAAATTCCCCTGGATTTTTGCTTCATGTAGACCTTTGACCAGCCTCTCAGTAACTTAAATTTTGTTATTATCTTGATTGGCACCACATCCACAATCATTCACTCCCTCCACCGATGATGCTCAACAGCAGCAGTGCATACCATCTACAAGGTGCACTGCAGAAATTCACCAAAAGATTCCTACACAGCATCTTCCAAACCCATGACCAATTCCATCTAGAAGGACAAGAGCAAGAGATACATGTGAACACCACCTGCAAGTTCCCATCCAAGCCACTCACCATCCTGACTTGGAAATATATCACCATTCTTTCACTGTCACTGGGTCAAAATCCTGGAATTCCCTCCCTAACGGTGTTGTCAGTCAACTTATAGCATGTGGACTGCAGCAGTTCAACAAAGTAGCTCATCATCACCTTCGCAAGGGCGACTAGGGATGGGCAATAAATGCTGGCCCAGCAGATGCCCCATGAGTGAATTTAAAAAAGTCTTGTTGTGAGGGAGAAAAGGAAAATGTTTGAATGACACAGCAGACTCACCAACATTTGCAAGAAAACAAAGAGAGGAAAACAGTTTGGGTTTGGTCAGAACAGCAGT